GATTAAAAACAAGATGGAAGCTGAGACTAAATTAAGAAATGGAAGTACTGAAAACAAGCAGAAAATTAAGACCAAATAATCCATTCCAGTATCCACTCCCTACTCCCATACAATCTTCTGTCCTCTCTCACCATTCCTAGAACGCTGCTGGAGAGAGTGTAAGCTCAACAATTACACACAGCCCAGAAATGCTTTCTACATCTGCCAGGATCTAGGGAGTATTTTTAACTCCACATATCCAAATATTGCGTTTGTAATGCAGAGAACTAAGCAGCCATCAGCCTGTCCCTCCAGCCCTCCTTCAGGTTCTTCAAGTCGCAGCTGCTCAGCCTAGAAATAACAAAGAACTGACATCTGCGTCCTGCCGAACTGTGCACGATCACCTGAGGCGTCACAGCGCCACAGAATCCATGCCTGGGAAGGAACGTCAGAAGCCACTGAGTGAACAACTAAGGTTACTCTGTTCACCTACCCGACAAGGCATCCAGCACTTACCCGAAGACTTCCAGTGAGGAGGAAAACCCTCCTCTAACTGGGGGGCTGGCATTGGGGGGGCAGCAGGTGGGAAGGTGGTTAGTAAGTGATGACAAGAAGAGAGCGATTTTAATTTTTTTTAAAATGCAATAATGAAGAAAAAAGAAGTTAAGAAAGAAGCATAGAGAAGAAAGACAATCTGGAAAAAATAATGTTGAATTCATTATGTAGTTGTGGGTTTTTTAAGCAGTTTCCATAGAACTGTCTTTTGTGTTCTGTTGTGCGTATGGAAATGTTTTCTTGTTAAGTCAAAAATTTAAAAAATAAAATGTTTTAAATAAATTTTAAAGCTGGGTATGGTAGCACACACACCTGTGGTCCCACTGTTGCTGGAGAGGCTGAGGCTGGTGCATTGCCTCATTTTGGAAGGTCTGAGCTGCAGTGAGCTCAAGCAAGTAAGTTCCATACTAATTCCAGCACCAATACGGTGAGCCCCCAGGACCAGAAAGGCACCCGGCTTCCCAAAGAGGGGCTGACTAGCCCAGGTGGAAGAAGAACTGGTTAAAGCTTTCATACTAATTAATATTGAGACTGGGCCGGTGGGTGGCCAAGGTACTTTCAGCATGGATTGAGATAGGAAGACTCTGTCAATCAGTCAACAAATAAATTTTAGAAATAAATAATATATTTTTATAAAATAATGCATGAATCAGTTTTGGCCCACTGTCTTATCTGCTTATTTAGATCTTGGGCAGTAAGGTGGCATAGACAGAGTGTCAGGCCTGGAGTCGGAAGACCTGAGTTTAAATCTAGCCTCAGACACTTACTTACTAGCTGGGAGATTCACTTAAACCTGTTTGCCTCAGTTTCTTCAACTGTATAATGGGGATAATAATAGCACTTACCTCCCAGGGTTGTTGTAAGATCAAAAGAGATAATAATTACAAAGCGTTTAGCATGGTGCCTGGCACGTAGTAAGAACTATATAAATGATAGCTATTATTATTATCTGTATCCAAACTATCTTAAAATTACTGATGTCTAACCTCATAAACTAATTATAGATTAGTGCATCTGATAAATGTCAGTACTACTCAATGAAATCTCTTAACTCTGCCCACAGGCACTGAAATCAAGACTATAAATCCTTGAAGACAGAGGATCATGGCTTATCTCCACTTATAAATGTTCACTGCAATTTTTTATTAAAAACTACAAAGTATGTAACCATTTAAAACCCCACTGGTCACTTTGTTTCAAGGCAGAAGTATGAGCCATGAACAAAGCTTAAGGTGTATTTAGTACCCCTGAAATTTTGAAAATGTGGGGGGAGAAAAGATAGCCTCTTCTAGATACGTTTTAAATCAGAGACAATGTGTGAAACACTTCACTTTGTTCAGCTCCAAATTGCAAGAATATAGGAACGTATAACTAATTCCTCTGACAAGCTGCTTTGGCCTCACTCTTCTTCCCATTGTGTTTTTCCTAATGTCCGGTTTTTGTTGATGCCTAAAACACCATTGATATATTTATAGACAATAAGCTCTACAATTATAAAAAACGGATTCCCTGACTTGTAGCCAGGCATCATCAATTCCTCGCTTTTTCCCCAAGTGTGTTTACAGGCACATTTAATCTACTTACATACTCACTCACTCCTTTACTCAATAAATCAAGTCAACAGGATTTAAGTGTCAACTATGTGGCCAGCATTGTGCTAAGCATTAGGCACAAAACAGTCCCTGCCTCAAGGAATTCACAATTTAATGAGGGAAGCTGCATGCCAACAACTGTGGGCAAACAAGATAAAAGGATAAATTGGAGATATTTACCAGAGGAAAGGCATTAACATTAAAGGGAATCACAGAAGGCTTCTTGCAGAAGGTGAGATTTTAGCTGGGACTTGAAGGAAGTTGGAAGACAGACAGAAGAGGGAGAGCATTCCAGGCCTGGGAGACAGCAAGGGAAAATGCCTGGAGTCAGGAGACGCAGGGAGAACAGCAAGGAGGCCAAAGACACCAAACCGCTGAGTCTGGGAGGAGAGGAAGGTGTAAGAAGATAAATTCATACTGCATCCCTCCCGTGGGCACTCTGTACCACACCCTGGGGGGAATACAGAGAGTGACTCAATAGAGTCCCCGACTGCTGTTTCACAAAGTGAAAGAATTCAGGGTGTTTAATGTGGAGATGGATTAAGAAGGAGAGCGGAGAAGAGGAATAACCTCGGTCTTCCAATTCATGCAAAAAAGGGCACAAACTTGTTTTCTGTTGCTTCAGAAGGCAGGACTGGGACCCCAAAGCACATGTCACAAGGCCCATTTCTGCTCAATACATGGAACTTTTTAACTGGAGCTCTCCAACAAGGGAGGTGTTGCCCGTACAGATGCACAACCACAGGAAGAGCTTCCTACATTGGATGAGACATCAGACTCTACGATTTCTAAGGTGCCCTTCAACTACACTGCTAAGCTTGTTTGAAAAGGAGTTTAACAGAAACTGCTCCCTCAAATTAGTCTCTGTACTCACAACCTGATCAGTAAAGTTACTTTTTTTCCTGTTATCATAAGACCCATTCTGGACCTTCACATATGTATTACAAACAGATAATTCTTGCAGGAAAGGAAGATGTTCAGTATTTACCATGTAAACATTGTAGCTACATGGGTTCTATAACAACATTGATCGATAATCCTCACCCTAGATACCAGACTCCTTACTTAAGCAAATACAGAATCCGTGTCAGCAAAGCAGATCACTTGTCTACCAGTGAATGGGCACAAGGAACATGCCTAAGAACCCGTTACACACACCATCAAGATGGCACCGAGCGCTTTACAATTATTCCCAGTCTGGCGGCATACAGGTTAGAGAGACGACATGAAGACATACCGTCTCTACACCCTTCTACACACAGGACAGTGAATGAGAAGCATATAAGGACAGACACCTCCCTCCTATGCTGGGACTTGCCTTCACTCTTCCTAATGGAATTATGTAATAATATTATCTACCGTGTAACCATATGTTGTAGGCTGGTTTTGAGGTGAATGAGCAGAGAAGGGTGGTAAACTTCTCTCTGCAGTGACAAACCAAAGAAGAATGAAAACACTCACTTACCTGAATGACCTCTTCCCCTCCTAATCACAACAGATCAGACAAGTAACGCCCAATGCTTGCTTTGGGACGTCCCAGGATGTCTCTACCTCTTCTGATGCCACAAAATTCTGAAAACCTTCCCAAAGTGAATCTAACTGCAAATCCCCAAATCATGTGCCATCAGTTGGGTTAATATGACCAGTGGTTCATAAAATAATCATAATAACAAGCTTTTACGTATCACTTTAAAGTAAACAACGTCTTATTTTATCCCCACAGCAATCCTAGGAGGTAGGTGCTATTATTATCCCCACTTTACTGATGAAGAAACTGAGAGAGACAGTGATTAAGTCACTTCCTTGCCCACATTCAGAACTTGTAAGTATGTCCGAAGAGTTTGAATTCAAGTCTTCCCGACTCCAGACCAAGAGCATATCTACTGGGCCACCCTGCTGCCTCTAACAGATTAAGTGCCCTCTAAGGAGCTGTCATATCTCACATGTAACATGAGTGAAACGTGGGGAAGAGCACAAAACTGATCACATCTCTCCCTGCACAGCCACGTTAACAGGTGTCTCCTGACACCTCCATCTATCCCGTGAACTGCTCAAAGTTCCGGGTCTCCTCGCTCTTCCCCCAACTCCCTTAACGAAGTCCCACGCCGTCGCTTTACCTCCAGCTTCTTCCCCTCCAAGCCACACAGGGACACTCTGCGCCCGGCTCTGCAGCTGGTTCCAGCAGAGCCCCGAGTCCAAGTCGTGACCGGCCAAGAGCCAGCACTGCCCTGGCCATGCGGCCATCCAGCCTTCCCCCGGGGAAGCCACCGCACTTTTGGACAGCTCGGGTTACTACCAGCAGCACCGTCCTCGAAGACAACCGCTATCCGAGGCTCTCCTCGGCCCACCCAAGGCTTCTGTCCCCGGGTGTGAAGCCCTTCCCAGAAGTGTCCGGGGGCTTTTCACTCCCCTGGCTGTTGCCCCTCCGAATGATCTCCGCGTCCTTCCCCTGACACGGTCCCAAGCTGCGGGCTGACCAGGGCACGACCCGTCCACGGTGACCATCCCCGCTGTCCGGCCGTGCCCTACTCTTCCCGAGGTGACATTGTTGGGGGGGGTTTTGGGGGGGCGTCCCTTCCTCCCTTCCTCCCAGCTCTGACCCCTCGGCCTAGCTCGTTCACGTCCCCCCCGCCTCAGAACCCCCCCTCGCACCGGGGACCCTCGGGCGGCCTCGCGAGCCTCTGCGCACGCAGGCCCCCCGGCCCGCCACCGGGGGGGGGGCTCCCGCCACGCAGGCGCACTGGCCCAGGACCGCCCCCCTCCAGCCGGGGGAGCTGTGCACCTCCCGCCCGCCCGACCTCTCCCCTATCCCCACCCCACCCCACCCCCGCCCCCGCCATGGCGCAGGCGCACAGCCCCCCGCCCCGCCCCTACCTGTAGTAGGAGAGGAGGCCGTTGCTGAGAACGAACCAGCGGCGTTGGTAGCCCTTCAGGTAGTTGGTCCATTTGAGGAGCCAGCCCTTTAAGGTGTCGGGGTTGCTCCCGCGGCCGTCCTCGGCGCCTGGAGGCCTGGCCTCCGCAGCCGCCTCCTCGGAGGGCTCGGGCAGCGGCGGCGGCGTCGATGCAAGCGGAGGCCGCGGGGGCAGCGCGCTCATGGCAGGCGCCTCAGTGTGGCATGACAGCAGGGCACGGCGCTGAGGAGGGACGAGAGCCCGCGGGCGCCCCCTCCGCCCCCGGGGCCCCGCGGGCCGTCCCCGCCTGCCGCCGCCGCGGCTTTCCCCATGGACGCCCCCGCGAGCCCCGGGCGGAGCCGCCGCCGCCGCCCACCCCCGCGAGCCCAGCGCCAGCCTGGGGAGCCCGTCACGAGGGCGGCCCCCGCTCCCGCCCGGCGCAGGACTCCCGGCGGGGGCGACGGCGACGGCGACGGCGGCGGCGACAACGACAGCGGCAGCGGGCCGCGAGGAGGGAGCCCCCGGAGCCCGACAGGTGTGAGGCCGGCGCCGCAGCTGCGAGAGTGGCACGTGGGGGGGCGGGGCCGTCACGTGGGCGCCCCTCCCGCCTCCGGACCGAGCCTTGGACCTCTGAGGCGCGAGAGTGCGCGCGCCGGCGCCGCGGGGGTGGGGGCCGTCACGTGCGTGAGCGCCCCTCCCAGCCCGCCTTGGGGAAGCGGGGAGGAGTTGGGGAGGGGGAGGGTAGGAAGCGGCGGCGGCGGCGGCAGCAGCCTCCGCCCCTCTCCTCGCTCGCCCCCGGCTCCGTCTGACACAGAGAAAGGGAACGAGAGAAAGCGCGCCGGCCAGCGCGGGTGTGAGCAGGCACGTGAGGGAGCCCCGCCCTCCGAGCTGCCTCGGGCTCCGATTGGCGGAGTGAGCCACAGGAGAGCACGTGGGTGGGGTCCCGCCCGCCCTGCCTCTGCCGCGGGACACGTGCAGACTCTGGCGGAGCTGGCGCGCGCCTTGCTCCCCCTACCGGGCGAGGGCAGCACGTGTCCCCGCCCTGGGCGGCTGGCCGCGGCGTGACTCCTGGCGGGCTCTCTTTGGCGAACGGGGAGAGTCCTCGCGCCTTGCGCCCCTTGCCGGGCTCTAACCTCTAGGAGCGCACTGGCTGCGGTACGCACGTGGCGAGCACGCCCCAGGCGAAGCATCTCTGGTCCCTGGCACGGTGGCGTGCCCTCAGAGTGTCCGTCCTGCCGAGGGCCACGCAGCACGGGCAATTCAGGACAGGCAAAGAGCGACCAGCACTGGCCCTCCTCCTCGTCCAGTGCTGCTGGGAAGTGTGCCCTGCGGCCAGCAAGCCCCCATGAACCTCCAGCATCACAGATGAGGAAACTGAGGGTGCAAGAGGGTTTTGTAGCTAGGGAGTGCCCGGCTGGGATTTGGACCAGGCTGTCGGAAGCCCATGCCCAGTGCCCTGAGCACTGGCATTGCCGGGAGCCCATCCCGGAATGGAGGTGAGCACCGGTGCGGAATCCTCAGCAGGACGGGAAGGGCACTATCGGCCGTCATCACCATCTCCCTGATTGACGTGTGCCCCTCAAGACCCTGTCAGAGGGTCCCTCCATTAGCACCAGCCGCGTCGCCGTATGGAGGAACTGTCTACTGACCTTTCTGCTTTACCAAACCAAAGCTGCTTTTTTTGTGCTCGTTAAACCACAAACAGTGAGGTCTCATATTCTCTGTGTCTTTTCAAAGTGTGATGACAAAGACACGAGCAGCTAGAAAGAATTTTTTGCTGAAGCCCATCTGCCCCTGTCTGCTATTTCACCAATACCATTCCGTTTCCTTTGGGCTGTTTGCCCCCCTGTCTGGAATGCACCCCCTTCCTCTCCTTCCGCACACACAGCTCGGCTCCAGCATCTCTCCCTGGCCCCCACTCAGTCTACTGCACTCATGAGTACCTCTTTTGTTCCCCAACAAAACACTCCAGGAATGGCTTTTATGATGGTTGCCGGTGAGGTATATGGGGCTTGGGAAGGAAAGTGACGTAACCAAGAAATGGCAGGAGGAAGGCTAGAACCCAGATTTCCTTGAGAAGGGAGTCGGTCAATGAACATCAAGCACTTACACATGCCAGGTATCGGAGATACTAAGGCAAGGGGCACAAGACAGATATCAAGGCAGCACTGAGGTGGAGAGTCTGGGTGCCTGGGAGGATGAAGATCCGAACGTGAGGCAAGGGGAAATCTGGCTTAAACGAGTCTAAGGGTCCAAAAGGCAGCAGGGCTTGCCAGACTGGAGCTCAGGAGAAAAGGCTGAGTGGATGACTGGCTGGTGCCAGGGACGTACATGGGGAAGTTAAACGTGAAACCGGCTCCAGTTTGGACTTGAGGTTTTGGCCTATGTGGGCTTTGAGACGTGTGGAGAAAGGCTGGCCCTAGAGACGCAGATCTGGAAATGTTCTAGAGCAGACCTGAAATCCATGCTGGGGATGTACCTCCCTCGCTCTAAGCTCCACAAGGCCAAGTCTGTGTGGGAATCTGTCCCTTGGGACAGTGGGTAGAGCGCTGGGCTTAAAAGGCCAGTCAGATGAATCTGAACCCTGCCTTAGACACTTCTTGGGTTGCCCTGGGCAAAATCATTTCACCTCTCTGTGCCTCAGTTTCCTCACCTGTAAAGTGAGAGGCTTGGATTCTGTGGCTTCGAGAGCCCCTTCCACTTCCAGACCTGAGCTCGTATGGGCCTCTGGCATCTACAAAGTAGGGAGCTCAGTAAACATTTGTACGATTGGAGCCCGTTTGAGTTTTCTCTGCTTCTCAGGCAGGGTCCTGGGTTCTAATCCCAGCTTGGACATTAATTTTATATTAGAAATTGAACAAGTCACTTCCTGCTCTGGGCCTCATTTTCCTCTGGCCAGAAGTTCTGGCTAGATAATCTCTAAGGCTCTTACAATTCTATGATGAAAGTCATCATTTTAGTGGGAAAAGGACTGGACTTGCAATCAGAACCTCTTGGTTAGGTCCTTTCCCAGTTTATTAATCATGGCCTTGGGCTTGCGCTGAGCCTTACTTCTCTGCCCAGGTGTGATGGAAAGCTGACGAGGGAGATGAGCCTCCTGACTCGCCCCTCCCATACCTCACCTAATCAAGACTTTTCCTCAGGGGTTCAGAGAGTTGAGAATGGTAACGTATATTATAAGCTTCATTTGACAAAGGAGGTGGCTGAAGCCGACAGAGGGGAAAGGGCTTACCCAAAGTCACACAGCAGTCAAGCCTGTCCTAACGTCCCTCCTTTCTGAAGTGGTAACCCACACGCACGAGACACCAAGGAAACAGTGAACAAAAGGAGAGTTTACTTCCATTGCTGCCTCCCCTCCCCCGACGAGGCCCCCTCTTCCGAGGCTCAGCGGAAGACCTCCTTTTTCTTGGCATGAGCACTTTTCAGAGTCTCCGCCTTCTTCTTGGGCTTGGGCCTGGGCTTGATCTCTTTCCGGTACTTCTGGATGCTCTCCAGGTATCTCTGGATGGGCAGCGCTTCCCGATGCCAGCGGCTCAGCTTCCTCAGCTGCTCTGTCATGAACTTCTTCTTCAGGTGGTCAAAGAGATGGCCCATTTTCTTCTTAGTCTTGTCTGCTGCTCTTGTCTTAGAGAAAATAAAGGGGAAGTTAGAGGGAGGAAAGGGAGGGGCCCCAGCGTCCCAATGACGGCGAAGCTTCTCCAAGTGCCTCCCCCACTCCCCCAAACACCACTCTCTCGAGTAAAAGGGAACACCTCAAACGACATCTAGTCCTAACACCTACCTGGAGCGTGAATTCCCTCTACAGAATCCCAGACAACTGGCCATGTAACCTCAAGTCAAACACCTCCTACGATGGACCGTCTTATTTCTTTCCCTGATTAGGCATTCCCAGCTTGGGACATGGCAGGTGTATCTGGGGTAGCCTACATCTGGGGAGTGTCTATTTTATTTCTCACGTGCGCGGTAAACTCTAGAGTGAACTTCCTGTCATAGTGAAGAGAGGGTATGGAAAGGTCCTCAAAAAGCCAAGGGACACAAAGGCCAAGAAAGGTTGGAACGCCCTGAGCTTGACTGTGCTTCTGGCCTGCAGTCGCCTCTTGGTGTCTCTCAGCTCCCAGGTGAGGTGTGATGGCTAAGCCAAGGGGAGCCAAGTCTCACCTGTTCCTCCAGGATGACCAGAAAGGCAGCAGGGCTGGCACCACCACCCCGTCCCTCCAGAGCGTCCCCTGTGCCAAACTGAACCTCGCCTGATGACACCCTCACGATAACCTGTGAGGTGCTCGTCTGATTATGAGAGAAGATGACCCTTTACAATGGGCTTGGGGCATCCACGTTTACAGTGGCAGAAATCAAGGTCCCAAGAAGCAGGTTAGGTTGGCTATAGTCATGTCTTTCAAGTCAGGGCTCTTTCTGATACAAGAGATGGCATCCATCCTATGTTGGTCCAGACATAAGCAGGGCATGGTGGACAGAGGACTAGACCAGCAGACACAAAGACCAGGATTCCAGTCCTGCCTCAGACACTGACAAGTCTTATGCCCATGGAGAGGACCTGGGACCCCTCAGAGCCTCAGCATCTTCTTCAGAGAACTTGGTCGCTCTAATGAGACCATCGACGTGAAGCAGTCAGCAAACCTCAAAGTGCTCCAGAATCTGTTATTATTTGAAGGGAAAACCACACACACAAACACCTCGACCCAGTGTCTAGCCTCCAACTGATAGGGAGATCGTGGGGATAATGCAGTTTGAGGGTGTGGTGAGCTTGGGGGGGGCACTGTGCCCTATCTTTGCCCCCACCAACTCTGACCTGACTCTTAAGGGGAAATGCAGGCTCCTTCCCCCGGTACCCTCCTGAGAACCTCAGCAAGCTTTTCCACTTTCAGGGCCCCCACCAGCCCTGGGACTCACAGCAGCTGTCTCTGTGCCTGGACAGAAACACTCTCTCCTCCTTGGGGATCCCAGGGGTTCAATCATCACCTGAAGAGGCGACTGCCCAATTAAATGCAGGCCTCTCTCTGCCTCCATCTCTTTCCTGAACTCGTTCCTCTATTTGCCTGAGCATTCCCACCAGGACGTCCACAGCCAAGTGCATTCCCACCTTTGACCCCTCACGCCCAGAAGCCCGGGACGCCTCCTCATCTCTCTCTTTTCCTGCAGCTAATGCCCCTCCCCAGTGAGAGCCAATCCACTGGCCAGTCTGGTGAGCTCTATCTCCACAGCATGTCTTGAACCCGCTGCCTTCTCTCCAGTCAGGTCCTCATCACCTCTAAACAGCCGCCAAAATAGCCTTCCCAAGGCCAAAGTCTAACCACATCATTCCTCTGTTCAAATACCTTCAGTGGCTCTAGGATAAAACACAAACTCCTTAGTCCGGCATTCAGGGCCCTCTGTAATCCATCTACTTTTCTGGCCTCATTTCATATTACTCCCACTTCTAAGGTGGTAGCAGGAGTTGGGATGGCCATTAGAGCCCATCTAATCTAACCCCTTTGTCTGACAGATGAGGAAACTAAGGTACAGAGATGTTAAGTGGCTTATCCAGGATCCCACAGCTAAGTGGCAGGGGTAGGACTTGAACCCAGTACCCCTGACTCTAAAGCTCTTCTGCTGCCCACCATGTGCTCCCCACATTTCAGCCCAATTGAGTCCTTGTTCCCGGGCACTCACCTCAATTCCTCTCTCCTGCCTGGAATCCTCTTCCTTGCTCAAGGGCACTTCCCAGGTGTTCTCTGTCCTCTCCTGTTCTCCTAGGATATTTCACCTGAACCCCTGGTATAGCAGCCCCCGACTTGTGAGCGCGTCCACAAGACATGATCTAAGGGGGCCCTATGGATATGGAACACTGTATCCCCCGTCAGATTCAGGGGATATGTTGGTGTGTCTGGCTGGACTTTTCCGTTTTATTTTTTGGTACAAGAGATGGCTCAATGGGGAACGGAGGAGGAGAAATATACTTAGAACTGAAGATAATATGAAAACAGAACAATAAAATGTTCCTGAATATAGATCACCTGAAAAAGCAGAGCCCAAAGTGTCAGCACAGTCAGTCAACTAACATGGATTAAGTCCCTGTAATGTATCAGGTACCAAGCTAAGCACTGAGGATACAAATATTGCAATCCCTCCCCCCCAAAAAAAAACACAAACCTGCCCTCATAGTCTCACAGGGGAGACAACAGGCAAGATGAAGACGGGATAAATTAACAAAGAGAAGGCGCTGAGATAAAGGAGTGGGAATGGCTTCTTGCTCAAAATGTTAGTTTAGGTGAGGTCTGAAGGAGGTGGAAGAAGGAGGAAAAGGTGAGGAGGGGGTCAGCCAGTGAAAATGCCCAGAGTGGGGATGGCACAACTGTGTGGCTAAGAGTCAGGCGTCAGAATGGAAGAGGGAGGACGGGACATTATGAAGGGCTTTTGAAAGCCAAACAGAGGAGGCTTTATATTTGTTCCTCAAGGTGATAGGGAGCCACTTTAGGACGGGGTGGGGTGACATGATCAGACTGGTATTTCAGGAAAATCACTTCAGCAGCTGAAAAGAGAGTACACAGGCGTATGAAGAAGAGGCAGGCAGACCCACCAGAAGGTTATTGTGGTTTCAGGCCTGAGGAGGGGGATGGTCCAGTCAAAGAAGAAAAGGGGCCACATACAAGAGACCTTGTGGAGGCGCCATCCTTAGGATGTGGTAACAGATGGGAATATGGGGAGCCAAGATGGCGGAGTGAAAGCAGTGATTTGCTTGAGCTGTCCTCCAAACCCCTCCAAATACTCATAAAAAATGGCTCTAAACAAATTCTGAAACAGAAAACCCACAAAAAGACAGAGTGAAACAAATTTCCAGCCCAAGACAACCTGGATGATCGATCAGAAAGGTGTATCGCGCAGGGAACCTGGAGCAGGCCTCAGAGGACTGAATCTCGGGGAATCAGTCCCAGGCCTTGGAAGAGCTCAAAAGGGATCTTGAGAAGCAAGTAAGGGAAGTAGAGGAAAAACTGAGAGTGATGCAAGAAAATCATGAAAAACAAGTCAACAGCTTGCTAAAGGAGACCCCAAAAAAATACTGAAGAAAATAACACCTTAAAAAATAGCCTAACCCAAATGGCAAAAGAGGTCCAAAAAGCCAATGAGGAGAAGAATGCCCTAAAAAGCAAAATTAGCCAAATGGAAAAGGAAGTCCAAAAACTTACTGAAGAAAAGACTTCCTTAAAAATTAGAATAGAGCAATTGGAAGATAGTGACTTTATGAGAAATCACGACACAGTAGAACAAATCCAAAAGAATGAAAAATTAGAAAACAATGTGAAATATCTCATTGGAAAAACAACTGACCTGGAAAATAGATCCAGGAGAGAGAATTTAAAAATTATTGGACTATCTGAAAGCCATGATCAAAAAAAGAGCCTAGACATCATCTTTCAAGAAATTATCAAGGAAAACTGCCCTGATATATTAGAACCAGAGGGCAAAATAGAAATGGAAAGAATCCACAGATCTCCTCCTGAAAGAGATCCCCAAAGGAAAACTCCTAGGAATATTAGCCAAATTCCAGAGTTCCCAGGTGAGAAAATATTACAAGCTGCCAGAAGAAACATTCAAGTACTGTGGAAACACAATCAGGATAACACAAGATTTAGCAGCTTCTACATTAAAGGACCGCAGGGCATGGAATATAATATTCCGGAGGGCAAAGGAGATAGGATTACAACCAAGAATCACCTACCCAGCAAAACTGAGTATAATCCTTCAGGGGAAAAAATGGTCATTCAGTGAAATAGAGGACTTTCAAGCATTCTTGATGAAAAGACCAGAGCTGAATGGAAAATTTGACTTTCAAATACAGGACTCAAGTGGAACATGAAGAGGTAAACAGGAAAGAGAAATCATAAGAGACTTATTAAGTTGAACTGTTTACATTCCTGCATGGAAAGATGATATTTATAACTCATGAGACCTTTGTCAGTATTAGGGTAGTTGGAGGAAAAAAATTATATGTATGTATATAGATAGATAGATAGATAGAGGGCACAGGGTGAGTTGAAGATTAAGGGGTCATATCTGGAGAATAAAATTAAGGGATGAGAGAGGATTATACTCGGAGAAGAAGAAAGGGAGAGGTAGAATGGGGTAAATTATCTCACAAAAAAAAACAGAAAAGTCTCTTACAGTGGAGGGGAAACAGGGAAGGTGAGAGGGAATGAGTGAATCTTATTCTCATAGGATTTGGCTTAAGGAGGGAATAACATACACATTCAATTGGGTATGGAAATCTGTCTTACCCTACAGGAAAATAGGGGGAGAAGGGGACAAGAGAGCAGGGGATGATAGAGAGGAGGGCAGATTGGGAAAGGGGTAATCAGAAGTAAATACTTCTGAGGAGGACAGGGTCAAAAGAAAGAATAGAATAAATGGGAGGCAGGATAGGATTAAGGGAAATAGAGTTAGTTTTTCACAACATGTCTACTATGGACGCGTTTTCCATAACTGCACATGTACAACCTATATTGAGTTGCTTGCCTTTTCAATGAGGGTGGGTGGGGAGGGAGGAAGAGAGAAAATTTGAAACCTAAAGTTTTAAAAACATATGTTTAAAAAAATGTTTTCACATGCTACTGGGAAATAAGAAATATAGGAAATGGGGTACAGAAGTCTATCTTGCCCTACAGGAAAATAGAAGGGGAAGGGGATAAGAGAAGGGGAGAGAGATAGAAGAGAGGACAGACTAGGGGAAGAGATATTCAGAATGCATGCCATCTTGGGGTGGGGGAAGGGGGAGATGGGTGAAAATTTGGAACTCAAAAACTTGTGGAAGTGAATGTTGAAAAGTAAAAATAAATAAATTTATATTAAAAAAAAACAGATGGGAATATGGCAGCTGGGGAGGAACATTAAATCCAGGATGACACGTAGGCTGAGAACATGGGTGAGTTTGGTGGTACCTTCAACAGTAGTAAGGAAATTAGGAAAAATAGAGGGTTTGGAGGAGAGACAATGAATTCCATTTTGGATGTGTCAAGCCTAAGATGTCTACCAAACATCCAGTGTGACGTCTAAAAGGCAGTTGAAGATGGGGGCCTGGAAGCAGAGACAGGGGAGGCTTACATAAGTAGATCTGAGTCATCAGCTGAGAGATGCTAATGAAAATTATGGGATCTGATGAGATCAGCAAGGGAAATAGTAAGGAGGGAGACAGCGCCCTGGGGGACACCCATGATCCAGCAAAGATTAAGTAAGAAGTGGTTCAGATAGGAGAAGAACCAGAAGATAAAGAGGGGTGTCATGAAAACCTATAAAGAAGAGAGTATCCAAGAGGAGAGAGTGATCAATGATGTCAAAGGTTGCAGAGAGGTGAGAGGTCAAGGAGAAAAGGCCATGGATCATTGGTTACTTGGGAGAGAGCAGCGTCCCTGGAAAACGTGCAGCTGGAAACCATAATACAAAGAGTGAAGAGGAGAGTGAGTGGAATGTGTGTGCCTATAATGATCAGGATTGGGAGAGAATTTGAAGAGAAAGGTTCATATTTAGTATGGTGTTATCTTCAGGACAAACTGGTTACACGCACACAGTTGGGGGGAGGCAGCGTGGCTCAGGACCACCTGGCTTCCTCTTCCCTCCCCAGCAGCAGGGAGGGGGAGCAGGAAGAAGGGCCTCCAGTGAGGTTTTTTCACAAGCCTCAGGACCCCCAGGAGCCTGGGCTCAAGGCACAGTACCTAAGCCCTCTGCTCCCACCCCCTCAGCTAAAGCCCTCGTTTTGTCAATTGTGTCATTTGTACAGAGAGGGGAAATTGATCTGATTGCGTGTTCCTGCCTGCTTGCCTGAAGAGCAAAGGAGGACTAGGCCAGATAATCTCTTCCTATCACTCTGCCCACTCCTGTTTTTTAAGAAAGAGAGGGAAAGGAGGAAGAGAGACAGAGGGAGAGAAAGGGAGAGAGAGAGAAAAGAGAGAGAGAGAAAAAGAGAGAGAAAGGGAGAGAGAGAGAGAACAGGAGAGGAGAGGAGGGGAGAGAGATGGAGAAAGAGTGCAAGAGAGAGCAAGTTATCCATGCGTTACAGTGAAGAACTAGAGCGGGACAGGAAACCTGGCCCCCAGACTGCCCCCTGCTATTTCCTGGTGGTGGTCTTTGGGCAAGTTGGATGCCTTTGCCAAGCCTTAAAATACCTCCTTGGCAACCATCTCAAAAGCTCCCATTTCTGGTCACAACAGTCCCTTGAGAGAGGCAGTTAACAAGTAAGGAGCACCCAGCTAGGCCTCCACCAGGATTGCAAGGCCAATCCCTTACCATCCACCCCAACACAGAACCCCCACACTTCTGACCTGCCTCAAACCAAGCGGCTGGGCCAGGGAGCTCTGGAGGCCTCCTGTTTTAAGAAGTGTGAGAGAGGGACCAGAGAGGGAGCACAGCAGCCCATCGTAACTCCGTGGAATTACCTCCAGTTCGTAGACTCGCTGGGCACTAAGGTTGTCTCGAATAATCACTCTCGACAAGTGGCTCTTGGGTAAAAACTTTTTCACAGCCACCTCACTGGCATTCATCAAGCTGGAGAGGGAAGGGCATTATAAATCAGGGAGGCTCCTGGGCAAAGCAAGCTCAGGGTCCCTGGCAGTCTTCAACTAAGCCGAGAGTAAGCAGGGGCTGAGCTGATAAGTTTCCTTTGGGAGTGGGAGACACAGGTGCTTCTGAATGCTAAGAATCAGGGTGTGGGCCTCCAGGAGCCACCCTCAGAGGCAGGGTTTTTGGGAGGTGCAGATTAAAAGGTGTTTCAAGGGGAGAGAAAGTTAAAAAGGGATTTGGGGAGGGTCTTGAGTGGGTGTTCTTTTGGGGGAGGGAGTTTGAGAGAGCCTAGGAGTTCTAAATGGAGGGTGGAGTCAGAGGACTTTTAAGGAAGAATAAGAGGGAGCTCTAGGGGGAGGAAGTGGTCAGAGGGATAGGAAACGCTGGGTGTTGGCAGAGTTCAGAAGGGTTGGGGAGAGGAGGTAAAGATTGCAAAGGGGATATTTCAGGAAGACCCTGGAGAGAATTCAAAGTTGGGGGGATGTTGGAGTGGAAGCATTGGGGGGAGGGGTGTTAGGGAATTAGAGGGGTTCAGATGAGCTCTAAAGGGAGATCTAGAGCGGCTGAGGAGCATGAAAGGGACCATAGAGAAAGAAGGATGGGAGAAGATCTGGTGAAGGTCAGAGAGACACTGGGAAAGGGCGGGGAGCCTGCCTGGGTCTCAGGGACAGAAAGCAGGGTGCGGAGTCCAAGTTCAGGATCACTAGGTTAGAGGCTGGTGGCAGGAAGAGAAGGGGCGCTGAGTGCCCCATTGTGAGGCATCCTGGGCCTGGGGGTGTATATCTGAGGCTGGGCCCCGTGGGTTGGGGGAAGAGGCTGGGTCCTGGTCAGACACCGTCGAGCCTGCGGGCACCGGGGTCCTCGGGGGTAAGAGGTCAGGCTAGGAGCGCAGAACACCGGGGGGGGGCAGGGTCCCCAGGGTGTGGGGTCGAATGTCGGGCTAGGGGGTCCTTGGGAGGGGCGGCACCTGAAAAGCACGGGAGCCTGGGAGTTTCTGGGCTGCATGAACACCACCTGGGACTTCCCGGCCAAGGGGATCTCGGTCCGGCGCCACTCCGGCTTGTCCATAAGCAGGTGGCATGCTGACGAGTGCGTGGCCACTGCCGGACCAGGCAGGGCCACTTCCCTAGCGTCTTCGGGCTGGGCGGGCAGTTGAATGGAGCCCCTGTTGAGGCTAGGCCGTTTGGCCTCCTCTCGCATCTTCTAGGAGACGGGCGGGGCACGCCGTTAGAAAGCTGGGGCGAAGAGAAAACGATGCTCGGCGCCGGGAAGCGTCCGTTGCCTGGGAAACGGGCACCAGTCCGCAATGGGGTGGGGGGCGCGCGCGTGCGAGGCTGGATTGTCCCTGCGCGGACGCCGTAGGGTGCACGCGGCTCGTTGCCTAGGAGACGGACGGGGGCAGGAGGGCATGATGGAGGGAGGCGCGGGAGCTGTGTGTAAGGCGGCGGCAGCAGAGGCGGCGCGGTGAGCGGGCGGCAAGCGGAAGCTTCATCACAAAGACGGCGGCGACGGCGGGATCGAGGACGCTGAGAACTGGGTGAGCCTGGGGCTTCGGCCATGAGGCCGGCGTCTCCCTCGGCCCGGGCCCCTGCCCTGCCCTCCTCCCCCACCGTCGGCCCCTTCGCCCCGCCCCCTGCCGCCTTCCCCTCCCCGTCGGCCCTTCGCCCCTCCCCCTGCCCTCCCTCCGTCCCCTTCCCGTCGGCCGCAGCCCCAGGGAGGCTCTGGGGAGCGCCTCCAATCCCATCAGCCCTTTCGCCTCAAGCTCTTACCGTAATTCCCAGAAAGGAGGCGAAAAAGCCTCGCGAAGGTGGTGCTTTGGTACGTCCCTGCGGAGTTCTCGTGGAAACGGGGTTGGGGGGCCGGGGCCTAGGCTAGAGGAGCCCCTCCCCACAGTGTCATGCACCTCCCTGGGCCTCAGTTTCCCCATCTAAGCAGCAAGAGGCAGTTGCTGCTGGGGGAAGAGGCCCGGATTTAAAGCTGGAATTCAGCCCGCATTTATTATGCGCCTACTGTGTGCCAGCCACTGGACTTAGGTCCTGGGGATACGTCTAAATACAAAGAAGGAAACTGTAGTTGTGATGGGGATAGCCCAAGAAAACAGAAAAACAAGCAGCATCGCGAACACAAAATGAATGCAAGGACCTACCCCGGGGGGTGTCAGCATAGGCTTCTTGCAGAAGATGGGGCTCCAGCCAGCTCCTCCAGGAACAAGGGGCTCTGAGGCAGAAGTATGGGCAGCCTGGCATGCCTGCCCGCCAGGGCAAAGGCGCAGAGAGGGGAGATGAGGTGTTGTACATGAGGACCGGAGAGAAGGCCAAGCCAAGAGGGACGGAGATGGAGTGACCAGGGAGGCTGGGGCCAGTTAGCCAGCCTCGGGGAGGGCGGGAAAGGTCGGCTTGGGCAGTGGATGGTGTCTGTGGGACGAGGGGGGGCTGGAGCCCGGGCTAGGAACCCCACAGCCCTCAAGGGTGGTGGTGCCTTTGGTGGAAGAGGGAAGGATGACCAGGCCAGCACCCCGCCAGGATGTCCGGTTTGGCTTGTCCGGCAGCACAAGGACAGACAACCTGGGAGTCCTCGGGACAGACCCTGGGAGGACTTGGGGCTGTCCAGCCCACCCGCTCCTTTCAGAGAAGAGAGGGGCCATGGTAGGGGCTCGCCTGAGGTCACAGAGGAAGAAGCAGAGCCTGAGAGCCAGAGGTCTTCCCACTGGGGTCCCTCCTTGGAGTCCTGCCTCAGGCAGGTCACCCCGATAGGAAGGAATCACGCTGGACGATTTCCCAGTCTAGTCTTGCCTCGTACCCTGACTCCCTTTGTAAGCTCTAGAGGAGTCACTTCCCTCCCTGCCTCAGTTTCCTCTTATGAAGGGCTGGGCCGATTGGCCTCCGTGCTCCTGAGGGGGTCAATCCTTCTCCCCTGCAGACAGAAGCACCGAGATTCCGCTACCTGACTCAGCCGCCTTGGATTGTCTTGATCTGGAACCCTGCCAGAAACGCCCAGAGGTAGGTCTGGCTGCTCGGTGCTGGTCTGGGTCAGTCTGGCACTCGTCCTGACCCACCCTGGGGTCTTCACCCCTGAGTCCTCCCTTCACCGCGGCTGATTGCAGGCCCCTGGTGATGAGATCCGCTGCACTCACTCCCTTCCTTGCTCGCCTGGTCTGGCCTGACCCAGCCCTCGGGAGCCGGAGCCTGGGGGTCACTGCTGCCCCAGCATCTGGCTCCTCCCTGCGGATGGCGCTGACATCCTGGGGGCTCCTTTTGTGGAGCGGAGGTCTGCATGATGGGCAGAGGTGGAGAGGCTGCCAGGAGCGGACGCTTGCCCTGTGTGGGAAGGCTTGGTCGTCGTGGGGAAAGCTGAGCTCGGTCCACCCGAGGCGGTGCCCAAGCTCGTGCCAGCAGCGCTGGGCACGTACCGTGAGTGAGCTCTAAGGCTCACCGCCCTCCAGAGAGTGTCAGGCAGCCTCCCAGCCCACGGCCTGGCCACCTGCTTCCATTCACCATCATTCACTTCCCAAAAAGAGGGGCTTGGGCCACATCACGGTCTCAGCGTCCGCAGTGAAAGCAGTGCTGAGGAGTGTGGGTTCAATGCTGTAGATTAGCCAGATCCCTTGTAGCTTTTAAAGTAGTCAGTGTGGCAGGAAATCAGCATTTTAAGGGGGCCGTCTGGCCTCTATACTGGTGGAGTCTATGTAGGGAGGGACTGGGGAAGATCTCGACAGGCCGAGTCTAACAATACCAATTTAATGAGGATTATAGTGAAGAGTTACCTCTGGGTTCAAAACATCAACTTGTCCCGGGTATAAGATGAAAGAAGTGTGGCCAGAGAGCCATTCAGCTAAGAAGACCTGGGGTTTTCAGTGTGCTTCACAAGCTCCTTATGAGTCTGCCATATGCTGTGGCAGCCAGAGAAGAGTAAGGTGATTTTTGGCTTTGTAACCTGGCTTAGGGTCCAGGAGGAGCTGGGGAGGGGATAGAACGTAAACTCTGAGAGCAGCACTCTGGGCAGTGCTGAAGTCTTTGTTCACTGGTCGCTCTCCCTCTTCTCCTGGGCCCTGGTTAGACCATATGCTCACGGTCAGTTCTGGGAACCAGCTTTTTGGAAGGACATGGATCATCTGGAGTCATCCCCAGGAGGCAGCCAGGATGGCAAAAGGCCTCCCGTTCTTGCTGGGTGAGGAGTGCTTGAGGGAACAGGGGACGTTTAATTTGGAGGAGAAAAGAGATCAGGCAGGGTTTGCTTGACCGCTAAGGGCAGACGGAAGGAGGAGTAAGAGCAGGAAGGTGAGGGTGGGAAGCCCTGCCTCAGAACAAGAGAGGAGTGGGCCACCTGTGGCCGGTGCACAGAGGGGGGCCGCGGGGAGGGAGAGGGACATGGGCACACCCTGTCGATGGAGGGGCTGGTTTGGCAAGACTGCCTTTTTCCCCTTTATTGTTATGAGGGGTGGCTTACTGAGGAGCAGACAGAGCGAGATCTATTCAGAAATAAAGGTGGTGTTTAAAACAAAAGACATATTTCTGCTCGGCCTCTTGGCCAAGATCGTCTGTAAACACAAGTGGTAACAAACATAAGAAGATGAAATAATGGGGTTGAACAAAGTGATCTGTAAGATTCCATCATAATGTCTTAATAGTCTCTTACACATTAAGGTTTGTAAAGCATTTCGTGAGGGGTGGATAGTTATTATGTCCCTTCTACGGAGGAGAAAACTGAGGCGGCTAGGTGGCGTGGCAGCTAGCATGCTGTGCAAGAAGATGAGTTCAGATCTAGCCTCTGAGCATAGTGTGCTGTGTGACCTTGGGCAACTCACTTCACCTCTGATTTCATAATTGGAAGGGGCCTCTGTGGCCATCAGCGCTAACCAATACGTGGAAACGGTGCCTCTTCTAGCATTGCTGACAAGTGGTCAGCCTCTGCTGAAGACCTCCAGAGAGAGGAAAACCAGGTTGCCTGGACTCCTCTGGGGACAATGGCTAGCCCAGTTTGGCTGGAATAGGGTCCATGAAGGTAAGGAAGTGCGGTCCTGGTCGGCCTAATCTGAAGATCATCCTGTGTCCAGCTCTGGAAGGACACTGAAGAGGGAGGGCAGCCAGGCTGGGGACTCGAGGAGACTCCATCAGCAGAAATCTTTGTGTGACTGTTACCAGATCTGCCCAAGGGGACAGACAGCAAGAATCCAGAGGAATCTGTCTGGTTTCCTAGAAAACCCAGCTTGGCCAGGCTGTCCCACAGGGCAGATCTGCGATTCCTGAGCTGGAGAGCTGGAAAGAGGAGGTCATGCAGTGCATCCCCTTTTGTAGAGGGGAGGCAAGGCCCAGGTGGAAAGGACTTAACCTGGGAGCAAAGGGTGGAAGCAGGAGGTCACCGGGATATTCATTCCTGTAGTGACAGTCTCTGAGACTCCCTGCAGCCCCATGTAACTGTTCACTATCCCCATTCTACAAATGGGGAAGTGGTCCCAGCAGTGAGAATAGGCCTAAGTGGGATGCCCACGTTGGCCAAGTGGTAGCAAAGCCCAGACTGATGCCCAGGCCATCAGACTCCCAGGTCAGTGCCCTTTCCCCTTTTCTAGACTGCTTCTCCATGCAGAAGCAGCGCTCCGTTCTGGTGCAGAGGAGTATGGGGGCCCGCATCCTGGCCCCTTCCAGGGTCTCATGAGGTAGTGGGGAGAGGAGCCTCTAAGCCCGAGCCCCGCTGGACTCTGGGCACCACGGAGCCATTTGTGTCTGGGGCCATGAGAGGTCAGGGAGGCTATGCTACACCTGAAACAGTCCCCTTGATGGCATTGTCCAGCTTCTGCCCAGGGCAGGGGAGCCTTCGAGGATCTGAAGGACTCTGGGGTGGAAGAAGGATTAGGCCAGAGTCAGGGTGCTCTCATCGTGAGGACGTCCTCTTGACATCCAGTTAAATCTGCCCCATAGCAGCTTCCACTCATTGCTGTGGCTCTGCCCGGGGACAGACCAGAGCCAACCCATTCCTGGTGCCATGATGGTCCTTCCACCGTTTGTCTTGGTGAAAGGTTTGGGGCGTGTCTGCCCCCATCATTGCTGAGAGCCCCTGTGAACAGACAAGATCTGATCCTGGGATGGACCGTCTGTTTGGAAGAGACAGAGGCAGCCTCCCAAAGAAAAGGAGCAGAGGGAGGGAGAGCCTTGGGTCATTGGACTAGACCAGAGGTTGGGAACCTGTGGCTTTCTAGGTCCTTTGAGTGCAGCCTTTGGACTGAGTCCAAGTTTTACAGAACAAAAAAAGGATTTGTTCTCTGAAGTTCGGATTCCGTCAAAGAGCTGCACTTGAGGACCTAGAGGGTCAGTCACATGTGGCCTCTAGGCTGCAGGTTCCCCACCCCTGGACTAGATGAAGGCCCTCTCTGGCACTGAATCCTAGGAATCTTTGACTGTAGTCGTCACGCTCTGCCTTGGTGAGCCCCCATCGGGAGTGCTGCCCCGGGACATAATGAGGCCCATCTAGAGAGGACGAGCAGCCCACCTCAGCCTGACATATTAAACAGCCACTTTGTATGAGGCACTTCCGGGGATACAGTCACAAAAACAAAAAGTCTCTGCCTTCCAGAAGCCGCCGCCTTTGATGAGATTATCCAAGACCATGGTGCTGGAGTGGGGGCCAGAGAGGCTCTTTGTAGGAAGCGGCCCCTGCACAGAGTGAGCTGAGCCTTGAAGGCTTCCAAAGGCAGAGGGGAGGAGAAAGGGCTCTAGGGCAGACCGCAAGGAGGCCGCTGTGCTGGAGCCACGCCTGGTATTTAATAACTAATAATAAGAATGTTGGCACTTGCTAAGTGTGTGTAGTAGGCGCTGTGCTAAGCGCTTTACATATATTGATCTCATTTGATCCTCACAACAGCCCTGGGACGCGGGACTATTATTATCACCCCCATTTTACAGATAAGGAAACTGAGGCAGGCAAAGGGAAAGTCACTTGCCCAGGGTGTCACCTATCTAGATTTCCAACTCAGGGCTTCCTGACTCGGGGCCTGGCTCATGCTTTACTTCATTTCCAGGAAGGACATTGGTAATCCGGACAGTATACAGAGGAGGGCCCCCAGGTCAGGCAGGGCCTTATGAGGGTTAGTAGAAGAGAAGACATAGGCAGACAGGAGAACCATTTTCAAGCATCTGAAGGAGTCTCGTGTGGAAGAAGCATTAGGCTTGTGCTGTTTGCTCCGAGTTCTGCCGACAGGAGCCTACAGATGGAAGTCACCGAGAGACGATTTGAGGCTTTATCTGAAGGAAGACTTGCTAACGAGCATGAAAGCTGCCCAGAAGGGGAAGGGGTCGCCTCTAGAGGTGGGGGCGCCCTGTCACTGGAGGGCTTCAAGCAAAGCCTGGAGGACAACTTGCTAGGACATTGTAGAGGTCGTCTTTCAGATTGTGATTGGATGAGGCAGCCCTGGAGTCTGTGCCAGCTCTGAGATGGAGATCCTCAGCCCCCGAGGATGCCCTTTATCACCCTGGACTTTTCCAGCTTCTGAGGACAAAGAAGAAAGTGCTAGATTTTACTATAAAAGCCACAGTTTACAGATCCTATTAGTGAGAGCCTGAAAGGCCTCTTGAAGGGGATCCTGAGGCCCTCGTGCTGGGAAGAGACGAAGTTTCCCCAGGCCCCAGCCTCTTATGTGACCATAAAAATGACCCATTCCCTCAGCAGCAGGTGGAGAGCCCAGGGAAGGACAGGGCGAGGCAGTTCTGTCTGGACTTGGGAGTCCAGGTCTAGAGGAAGCTAATGGAGAATCATAGAAGAGCAATTGTAGGTGTGAGCTCAGCCGCAGCGGGTGGGAGGAAGGAGAATCAGAATGGGAGATGGACAGTTGTTCAGCATACCTGGAGTGTAAGTTTGGGACCCCCTCCTGGAGGCAGTTGGATGGCAAGATCAGGGCTTTATACTATTGACCGTGAATCCCTGAGGGGACTGATTGCTTCAAGCTGGGGGATGAGGGTCAGAGCAGCTCGAGAGGAAGATGATGTGGGCTTCGTGTCATGGAGGGGGATGGGGGTGGAGGAGCAGTGCTGAAGGGGAAGCTGGAACAACACAAGCCATGAGGGCCCAGGTCTAGGTAGGGTCTGGGTGGGGGCCGCATGGTGAAAGGCCTTGAATGCCAGTCTAAGGGCTCTGGCCTTGGGCTCGTTCCTGTGTTTGTGTGTGCACACACCCCAGGTACCATGCCACCGGCCAGTGTGCTGGACCACGGGTGTGGTCAGACTTTACTTGTAACGTCTTCTTTCTCTCCTCAGTTTTCTTTAGACAAAGAGTAGCAGGAAGATGCAGCCACCCGTCGTCGCTGATTTATAAAGTTTGCCTTAATGAATACATCTTTGAACACTATCCCCATTCTCTTCAGGCAGCCTGCGGTCTGTGGCCTGTCCCAGATTACCAGCAGCCTGTACCTCGGCAATGGCTTGGCCGCTAACAACAAGGTCATACTGTCCAGCAACCGAATCACCACCGTCATTAACGTGTCCGTGGAGGTGGTGAACACCTTCTACGCCGACATTCAATACGTCCAAGTGCCTGTGGCCGACACCCCGCTCTCCCGCCTGTACGACTTCTTCGACCCCATCGCCGATAAGATCCACACAGTGGAGATGCAGCAGGGCCGTACGCTGCTGCACTGCGCGGCCGGAGTCAGCAGGTCAGCAGCCCTCTGCCTGGCCTACCTCATGAAGTACCACTCCATGTCCCTGCTGGACGCTCACACCTGGACCAAGTCCTGCCGACCCATCATTCGGCCCAACAACGGTTTCTGGGAGCAGCTCATTCACTACGAATTCAAACTCTATGGCAAAAACACAGTTCGCATGGTGAACTCTCCCTTTGGCGTGATCCCGGATGTTTATGAAAAGGAAGTCAGAGTGATGATTCCACTGTGATGGTGATTAGCTTTCTGCTATTCAGGGTGAAGGGTGCAGACCTGTCATTGGCTCTAGACCACAGTCTGAACTTGAAAATAAACTCTTCAGCTCGAGTATTATACTTTGATCGATACAGAAAAGCAGATGACAATGTGAGATCAAGGAGCGAGCTCTCCCAGGGGCTTTAACCTTGAATCCGCATCTATAAAGAATAAAACTCAGTCACTACAAAAGTTATCAAGAACTTAGTGATCGAGAACCTCCCCGTCTGTGCCCGATTCCCCGGGGCTAGTCAGGGAGGACGGGTGAGCAGGGGAGGTGGACTCCAAACGTCGGTTCAGCAGAGAGAAGCCAGCAGGTAGCCTCTTGGAGCTGATGCCAAAAGGCTGGGGACAACTGACAGGTCTGGGAGACTCAAGCCTGGCCAGTGACCATGTCTGCCATCGCTCCTAGGGCCAGGGGTGAGCCCTTCCTCCCCTTCCCTGCCTGCTGCCTCCCCCTCCAGTTACTTTCTGGTGAGTCCAGCCACATGGGCCGACAGGCCCGAACCCTGTGGAGATTCAGGGGCTGACCGGATGACTGAGAGGGGACATATCTCCATGCCCTGAGCCAGCCTACCTTCTGCCCCTGCTCTCCCCTCTCCTGAGAGGCGGGGTTGCCTCATAGGCTTCCAGAGATCATTCCAGTATCTCACTAAGGCACACTGCAGGGGTACCCCATTTCATCTCATCCTTTCGTAGTGCCCTCCCCAAGTTCATCTGACCAAGCCCTGCCTTGGCATTGCTCATGCCAGATAGGTAGGTTAGCTGAGACCCAGGTGCTCAAGCTTTCTTCCTTTGGAATGAACAGCTTCTGTCTGTGCCTACTGAAGTCAGTTGCAGGGCACCAATAAATGGCACACGGTAGGTAGGGTGTGCCTGTAGGTGGCCGGCTCTCTCTCCCCTCCGTGCCCCCTCCCAAGCCCTTTAAGTGGGATGAGGTCTGATTATGTCTGAAGTGGGTTAGTAGCAGAGTTCCCTGGAACACATTTTTCATTGGCTAAAAGATCTTTTAGAACAAATGATCCTTAATAAAACTTGTAAAATTTTACACAACTGCCTCATTTTCCTTCTTGCTGAATTTCTGCTTCTCCCACAAACTCTCTCACAACTTTGAAGCACGTGAGCTTCATTCCAGCCCGTCACCTCGGACAGGTGACCTGAGCCAGCCGTCTTCCAGATTTCATGCTAAGGCTTCCAGGAGGGCCTGAGAGGACCCAGAGGATGGGCTCGGGTGAAACCAATCCCACCACGTGTGTCCTTCCTGTCCGGCGCCTCGCCAGTCCTTTACACTTAGAGGGCTCTGCAGTTTATCAGGAAGCCTGGCCTTTTAACCAGTGCATCAGGATTTGTGCAGAGCCTGCCTATCCCTGTTATAGATTTGAGAGAAAATTCTAACCCGTATGCCTAGTGACTCAAGCCTTGTGGCATGGTGTCTAGAAAGCTGATCAGGGGCAAGACGACTTGGGGTCAAAGCCCACCTCTGACCTGAGCTGTGTGACCATGGGCCTTACCTAGGTCTCTGAGCCTCTGCTGCTAAAAGGGGCTTTCCAGGCCATCCAGTCCAAACTCAGCATTTTACAGATGGAACAACTGAGGCCTATGGAGTTTAAATGACTTGCCCAAGGTCATAGAACTAGTTAGTGGCAGCCAAGATTCAAACCCAGTTCCTCTTAGATTAATTCCAACCCCTATCCACTGCACCACACTTCCTCAACGTACAGACCTCTTACACACAATAGAAGACACTGGGAACAGAGCTCTACGCTAGCGTTTCCATGGGTTACCCATACTATAAGGGATCACTCGGAAAAAGAAAGCATTTGACATTTTAAAAAAACACAAATGGCATGTATAGAGAGCTAACCTTTACAGTCAGGAAGACTTGAGTTCAAATCCTGCCTCTGGCACATAGGAACTGTGTGACCCTGGGCCTCTCTGTTCCCCACCTCCCATCCCCATCCCAAGTACTCTACAATTATAGATGCCAGCCTGCTGGGTAGAGGTCTCAGGAGCTCCGAACACCATTGAAGGCACAGGTTCAGTCCAAAAAGAAAAATGGCTATGATGCTTTTTTTTTGGACTGGACTTTCATTGGCAAAGGGAAGCCCACCCCCACCCCAAAAAGGCAGATGGGTTTATAAAGCACTGATCCTCTGAGTAATAGTTTTAGAGGGCTTTTTCAGTGAGAGGGCCCTGCTTTTTAAATCTATGCTTCTCAGTTTGTGCAGACCCTAACTCAGCAGGCCAGGCCTAGATTTAATCTTTCCCTGCCTTATTTAAACAAAAACTCCGATTTAATGGAGGATATCTAACCCACATACCCAGTCAAATAAGAAGTAAGGATAGGCAGGCCTAGAGGAAGGCAAATGACTTCTCCAAGGTCACACAACTAGTTAGTGGCAGAGCCCAACCAGAGCAGACATTTAAAAATTTTTAACCAAAGATCTCTCTGGCATTTTGTTGAGGCCTGTAGGCCCCTTCTCAGAATGATGCTTTTAAATAACCAAAGGAAATGCTAAGTTTCAGTTAGACATTATGGAAAAGGAAGATGCCACTTTTTTTCCATCCAAGTTCACAGTCACCAAGGGCCTTTCCAACTCTAATGAAAGCAACTCATCTGGCTGGAGCACTTTATCATTTTAAGAAAAGTGCGTTTCTCAGAACAACTCTGAAGGTTGCCCATATTTTATGAAGGGTAAAGCCAAGGTTCTGAATTGGGAACTGACTTGTCCAGGGTTATACAGCTGAGGCGGCAGAGCTTTTTAGACTTGTCATCGGATTCCCTGAGGCTCAACCCTGGGACTCTCCACTGCACCCCATCGCTCTGCTTTTCATCTGTGATTTTGTGAAATTATATCAGAATTACAAACAAAATAATAATAAACTGCTTTAAAGTGTATGGGATGGTTCCTGCTTCTCCTAAGGGTCCACCAAAGGTCAGGGCCCGGCCAGGCTCAGGAGCAGAAGGGTGGGCACGTGGTCATGCGAAGGGCTGGATGGTGAGAGAAGAGGGAGGCAGACAGGACACACTAATAGACCCACTCTAAACGGAGGAATGGCGGGCCTTTGTTCATGATCCAAGAGGCTGCAGGGAGCTCCAGCTCCCAGTGCCAATGGTCAGTGGGCCCTGCTCATTTTCTGCTGTCTGTGATCTCTGATGGCTCTAACCAAGAAGTCCTAAATCAGGCACCTGGTTTATAGAGACACTGAATGCATCTCTCTAATTAAAGGAAGGGGCACAGTCCCCAGATTTTAAACATAGAGTCAAAGGATAGAGATGTTAGGAGCCTTGGAACATAAAATTAGGAATGTCAGGGCTAAGAGGGGCCTTAGGACATGGGATATCAGGGCTGGGGGGGCCCTCAGGACAGGGGATGTAGGGGATCAGTGGCCTCAGCAGCCCTCACGGCCCTCATTTACAGAGAAGCTAACTCGGAGAGACTAAGTAAGCTTGCCCGTGGTTACCAAGGTGGCGCAGAGCTGGGGACAGGCCCATCCCACTCCGCCGCTAACTTGCCAGGTGATTTTGAACAAGTGCCTTTCCCTCCTTGCGCATCATTTACCTCCTCTGTAAAACGAGGAGTTTGGGTTTCATAATCTCAGGGTTTCTGATCCCTGAAAGCTCTTGATCCCCTCTATCCAGGAACCCAAGCCCAAAGATCATAGGATCTAGAAGATACAGCTTCCCTCTGCTGAGACCTAAATCTTCGATTGAGAAGATCAGCCTCCCAAGTGTGGGATGGAAGAAATGCGGCTGCACAACTCCTGTGAAAAAGATCTGGAGGGCTTTAGTAGACCACAAGCCCAATGGGAGAAACCAGGTGACATGACAACCCCAAAAGTTAACAGTCTTACTCTCCAATGAAGAATATCCCTGGAGCTTTCAGGCAGCCCTAGATGAGCCAGTTTCCTCCACTGGTCTAAATGGATGAAACTCCATTTACAGATGGCCATCCTCAGGAGAAAAACGGGGTTAAGTGACTTGCCCAGGGTCACACAGCTAAGTGTGTGAGGCTGGATTTGAATTCGAGTCTTCCTGACTCCAGGGCCCCATGCTTCTTTACTATGATGCCACCTAGCTGCCCTAACTTGAGGCTAAGAGAGGGTGTACGGGCTGGCCATCATCACGCAGAGCGTGAGCCTGAGGCCAGGTGCATGCACTTCCCAGGTTAGGACTAGGCCCTCCAACAGCAGCGCCCATACTCTGGTCCCATCATATGCCGCCCTGCGAGGAGGATCTAGAAAGAGAAGTCACTTTGTCAACCTGCCGCTATCTTGTTTGTACCGGGTTAATTGTATGGCATCTTCCCCATTAGACTGAGGGCAGGGACGGATTTTTGTCTTTCTTTGTTCACATTAATTTTCTTATACATTTGCTTTTAGGCAATTGGGGTTAAGTGACTTGCCCAGGGTCACACAGCTAGTAAGTGGCAAGTGTTTGGTCTGAGGCCGGATTTGAACTCGGGTCCTCTTGACTTCAGGGCCGGTGCTCTATCCACTGTGCCACCTCGCTGCCCCTTTTCTCTTTCTTTGAAGCCTTGTGCTTGGCGCAGTGCCTGGCACACAGGAGACACTCAATAAAAGGCTCGTTCACCTGACTGACTAAAGCTCCGTAGAAACATCAGCTGCCCCCCAGCACCCACTGGTCATCATGATCATTCACCTTTACACAACGGCTTACGTGAATAGTGTGCCTCAGTAATCTGTATTGAGGCCGTGCCCTTACTCTATCTCTCCATGTCTAGGCTGGGGGTTCTAACCCGGAATCCACAAACTTGTTTTGTAAAATATTTTGATGACTGTATTTTGATATAATCGGTCTCCTTTGCAATCCTACGTGGTTTATTTTTATGCATTTAAAAACCTGATCCCGAGAAGGGATGCCTTGGCTTCCCCAAAGGGGTCCATGATACAAAAAAAAAAAGTGACGAAGATCTCAAGGTTTAATGGTGAGCCACTGGGAAGAGCTGCAGCTAGCTGGACAGAGAGCACAGGTCCTGGAGTCAGGAAGTTAGAAAGACTCTTCTTTGTGAATTCAAATCCAGCCTCAGACACTTACTAGCTGTGTGACCCTGGGCAAGTCCCTTAACCCTGTTTGCTTCCATTTCTCTTGAGCTGGAGAAGGAGAAAGTAAACCACTTCAGTATCTTTGCAAAGAAAACCCCAAATGGGGTCACGGAGAGTCAGATGTGACTGAACAATATTGGAACAGCATCTGGGCCCTCAGCAGTGAACAGGCAAGGCAAACAGCCAGTTAGCCACAAGGTTAGCAAAAACACCCCCCCCCCAATTCCAAGGATTATGAGTCTTGCTTTGCTGAAGCCGGGAGGCCAAAGAGAACAATGCAGTGGGCTGAAGAGTGCCGCGTTCTGCGTGTGTTTCTTCTAATATCAAGTAACACATGTATGTGCAAAGAGCAAGTTGATCTCTGTCCTAGAGGAAAAAGTCAAAGGCTTTGATGCATCCATCAGTGAATGAAGTGTTCTTTGACAGATTGGATGACCATTTTGATTCTTTTAAGAAATAATTTTTTTTTTAAAGATGCAAAAGGGTAGAGAGGGGTGCTCCCTTGGATCAGGAGGTTGGAGAATGGAGAATGTGAGATACAGAAGGAAGGGACGAGGAGCAGTAACCATGTGGAATTAGGTAAAAGGCAGGAGGAAGAGGGTTTTTGTGCTCGCCGGAAGGATGGAGGATTCTGAACCGCCATAACCCAAGACGAGAGAAGAAGTAAGTAACTCACAGGAAGCAGGATGCAACGAGGCCCCCGGCCTCAGACAGATGCACAAAGAGCAGGTAAAAAGAGGTTAGTGGAACGGATACTAACCCTAGGGAGCAAATGTGACCTTGTAGGTGGCATCTCCCTCCTAGAGGGATGGGCCATGGGAAGGGGAAAAATAGCTCCCTCCCACCCCCAGGGGATAAGGCCGCTCTTCTTCCAAAAGGACAGAATTGGTCAAAAGGATGATAAAGAAGGCATGCTCATGTGAGGAAAGCCAGGAACCTGGAGGGACGGAGGGTGAACCATGATGGAGACTGTT